AGAAGAAACTGGAATAAGTCGGTAAAAATTGAAAGAAGTTAGAAAATATTGAAAAAATTAGAGTGTTAAAAAGTCACTTCATTAAATGAATGCCGAAATAAATATGTAAAAAAATTCTAGTTTTAGGTAAAAATAGAATTTATTTTGGTCTGTGTTTGAGGTAATATGTTATAAATTACGAAAAAACTGAAGAGATTGCAAGAAACTGAAAAGAAGTTTAAATAAATTGAAAGAAATTGAAAATATTGAAATACAAAAGATAGGCTAAGGTTCATTGTTTTCTCTAGCTAGTGTGGGGAGAGTTCGAATTAAAGCACCACAATAGTCAATAGACAATAATGAAAATACGTTGAGATTCCATGGCATTATATTCCACTCGGAACGGAATCTTATTTCGGTTTGGTTCTCACAAATTCACCCATAAGCATGCCTATCTCTTGAGAGAACCCTTTTGATAAATCGGGGGAAAAAAGAGAATCGTTCTCAGTTTTTTTAAAGTAATGTTAAATTTTATATTAAACATATATGGAGAATGAATAAATTTTTTAAGGAATGTAATATGGTGTTTGAATCCTATTACACATAATATTTTCAACCATTTTTGCAACAAAAAAATGGTTCAGTGGTTAGACCAGCCAATTTGCATCGGTTTGAACCGGCTGGATGCAAATTTTAGTCTAAGATGTCGTGCTAAATCGATTCCATCTCCTATTCCCTGATTTACGATCCAAACTTCAATTGCCACTCCAGTTTGATTTTTAAACCTGTGTTTTTTATAAATCTAATTCGAATGGGAAAAACATCAATATTTTAATTTTTCTTATTTACTATTTACATGGTTAATTTCTAATCATGTTATTTATCCATGTTTGCTACTCCTTTGAGAAAATAATATAGTATTGATACATCTTGTTTTTTCAAAATTTTGATGTCATTTTTAGATCTATAAATTATATATATATATATATATATATATATATATATATATATATATATGTATGTATGTATGTATGTATGTATGTATGTATGTATGTATGTATGTATGTATGTATATGTATATGTATATATGTATGTATGTATGTATTTATGTATGTATATATATGTATATTGATACAATTTGATAATAACTTGTCTTATTGAATATTGAGAGATATGGCTCTATATATAGAGAATACAAGAGTAATCAAAGTACAAGTAGGAAAAGAAAGAATAATCCTAGTAGAAAAGGAAAGAAGTATCCTAATTTAATTATACTTCCTAATATCCCCCCGCAAGCTGATCAACGGAGATGAGGGGCAGCTTGGAACATAAGTACTCAAAAGGAACTGGCAGAAGCGGTTTGGTAAGAATGTCTGCTAGCTGCTCTGAGGAGGAAACATGATGTGGAGTCATAGTGCCTGCCATAACCTCATCTCGTACAAAGTGACAGTCTGTGCCCACATGCTTCATGCGATCATGAAGAACCGGATTTTTGGTGACACAGATAGTCGACTCATTGTCACAGTATAACTTCGGTTTGGACGGAGGAATACCCAGTGCATCAGTGATATATCGAAGCCACATAGCTTCTGCAACCCCTGCAGCCATAGCTCGATATTCAGCTTCAGTGGATGATCTAGAAACACGAGTCTGCTTTTTCGTGCACCAAGAGATGATATTAGGACCGAGTAGGAGTATGTAGCCCGTGGTAGACTTGCGAT